CGGTGTGGGCAGCGTGCCCGGCGGCCGGCGTTGCGATCTCCACCTCGAGGTTTGAGCGCTTTGGACCTTTCCTGCTCGCTTTGTCCCTCACGTCCTCCCGGGGGGATGTGACACACCGTGAGCCGGAGCGTTTGAACCCGGGAAATCCTGCGGGAACGCCCCGGCGCTGGCGGTCCTGCGTGTCGTCGCGTCACCGCGCAGTTATGTGACCGGCTCCCAGCCAGATGCCTCTGGTGTGACGCCTGCGCTCGCGAGGGGCTGCCGCTGAGGATAGTCAGCCCGGGGGGCATTTTCGCTCCGATGAAGTCAACGGTTGTCACCGTTTCCTGCAGTTGGAACCGTTTCTCGCCGTGGAAATGGAAGCTGGCGGGAGCGTTGGGAAGTGAACAGCCTCAGGTTAATGGTGAAGGCTTGATCTCATCATCGTTTGGGGATAATATTATAATCATACCTATTTTATAATGAACCGGTGTGCCTTTTATTTTTAAACTTTTGTTCGTTTTTAAACTGTTGGTTTTCTGTTCCAGAGATTGCACTAACAAAAGCGTGTCCTTATTTCAAAAGCTCCTCGCTAGCCACGAGACAGTATTTCAGGCAAGGGTTTACTCCCAAGTTTTCATGAATATGGCTAGAAAGGAATAATATATATGTGTATATATATATATACATATATATATATACACACACACACACATATATATATGAATGAACCACAAAGGATCCCACTTACTGAAGTTTTAAATAGTTAGCTGGGCCCTAACCGGTTTGGCTCAGTGGATAGAGCACCGGCCTGCAGACTCAAGGGTCCCAGGTTCGATTCCCGTCAAGGGCATGTACCTTGGTTGCGGGCACATCCCCAGTGGGAGGTGGCAGCTGATAGATGTTTCTAACTCTCTATCCCTCTCCCTTCCTCTCTGTAAAAAAATCAATAAAATATGTTATAAAAAAGAAAAGTAAATAGTTAGCTGGTAGAATATTGGAAATAAGAAATCTTGGTGTTGCTAGTCCTGGACATTTTGTCCCACCCCCGCCCCCTCCCCCATTTAATGCCACAAACGGTGCCATAGGGTAAATGTTTGTCATACTGCAGCGAGCACATTCCTTCATGGAGGTCCTGTGTGAGGATGCTCTTTGCCAGTGATACCAGACCCCTTCTTTCAGGGGAACTCCGGGGGCAAACATTTCAGAAACTTCCAAATAGCAAGCCACTGAGTTAGGCCGCCGGGAATTCCAAGATCCTGAGCCATTTCCCATTTTCTGTCCCTGTCATTTCTGTCTGCCAGTCAGTCCCAGAACAGAAGGTTTTCTGTCCCAATGGTAATAGTAAAAAGAAAAGTATTTGTAAGTTTGTGACACAAAGAAAAATGCCATGGCTCCCAGTGACTAAAAACTTCCAAATATGGCACGTGAGCTTTGGTATTTAGTTCAGTATTTAGTTCAAGTCACTGTTTCTGGGAAAGTTACAGAATCTTCCTTATCTATGGGGGAAATGTATATATAGCAAGAATTGTTCATTCTGAATGCAAGGGTATTTCTCTTTTTCAGTTCTTGTCCTGACCAAAAAAAGATAATGAACGTACTTCAGTATAGGGGAAAATTCGAATTTCAAACACTCAAAAGCCTTAGGTATTTCCCCCAAAAAAGTATGTAATAACATTCAGTTATAATAAATACTACTTTGTAACTTTAGTCTTTTATAAGCTGTAATCTGGTTTTAAATTTATTCAGTTAATCTTTTTTTTAATAATTTTTATTTCTTAAAGTATTACAAAGAGTATTACATATGTCTCCTTTTTTCTCTCCCTTAACATTCCCCCGACCTCCCCTAACCCCAGTGTCTTGTGTCCATTGGTTATTCTTATATGCATGCATATAAGTCCTTTGGCTGATCTCTTAACCTCCCACCCAAACCCTCCCCAGGCTTCCCACTATAGTTTGACAGTCTGTTCAATGCTACTCTGCCTCTGCATCTATTTTTGTTCATCAGTTTATACTGGTCTTTATTATCCGTTTCAAACTCACCAGGGCCGACCCCACCTCACCAGGGCCGCCCCAACCTCACCGGGGCCGCCCCAACCTCACCGGGCAATTTCAACCTCGCCAGGGCCACCTTGGCCTTACCAGGGCTGTTTCAACCTCACCGGGGCCATTCTGATTTCACCGGGGCTGTTTCGGCCTCACCGGGGTTGTCCCAACTTCACCGGGGCCGTTTCAACCTCACCAGGGCTGTCCCAACCTCACTGGGGCCGTCCCGACTTCACTGGGGCTGTTTTGGCGTCACCAGGGCTATTTCAACCTCACTGGGACCGTCCCAACCTCACCGAGATCGTCTCGGCCTCACCGGGGCTGTTTCAACCTCACTGGGGCCATTCCGACTTCACCGGGGCCGTTTTGGCTCCCAACCTCACCGCGGCCATTTCAACCTCACTGGGGCCGTATCAACCTCATTGGGGCTGTCCCGATCTCGCTGGGGTCATCCTGACCTCACCGGGGCCGTCCCAAACTCACCGGAGCCGTCCCAACCTCACCGGGGCCGTCTCTACCTCACCGGGGCCGTCTCAACCTCACCAGGGCCATTTCGACCTCACCGGGGCCGTCCTGACCTCACCGGGCCGTTTCAACCTCACCGGGGCTGTTTTGGCCTCACCGGGGCTTCTCGACCTCACCGGGGCCATCCCGACCTCACCGGGGCCGTCCCAACCTCACTGGTGCCATATCAACCTCACCGGGGCCGTTTCAACCTGACCAGGGGGCCCTTTCGGCCTCACCGGGGCCGTCCTGACTCACCGGGACCATTTTGGCCTCACTGGGGCCGTCCCGACCTCACCGTGGCCATTTCGACTTCACCAGGGCCATCCCGACCTCACCAGGGCTGTCCCTACCTCGACGGGACCGTTTCAACCTCACCGGGACCGTTTCAACCTCACCGGGGCTGTCTCAACCTCACCGGGGCTGTCTCAACCTCACCGGGACCGTTTCAACCTCACCAGGGCCATTTCAACCTCACTGGGGCTGTCCCAACCTCACCAGCACCGTTTTGACCTCACCAGGGCCATCTCGACCTCTCCTGGGGTGTCCCGACCTCACCAGGGCTGTCCCAACCTCACCGGGGCCGTCCCAGCCTCACCGGGGCAACACGAAGTTTGGCATTCTGTCTTTTGGGCAGCTCCTTGCTGGACAAAATCTCCAGGCGTTCTTGGTGGCTGAATATCTGGTATGCTTGCTTGGATTTCGTTTTCTACTAAGTGCACAGACTGCTTGTCTGCCGTCTCCCAGCGTCCCATGTGAGACTGGATCTGGTGGACCTGCTTGTGCGTTTGCTGGTACAGCGGTTCCATGTCGCCGGCCCAGCTGGGTCCGGCTCCAGCTTCCTCCAAACCTGATTCTGCTTCTTGAGTGTGTCCCTTATGTATGTGAGGAGTTGAAATCTGCAGTTTGTTGGGTTCAAGATCCCACTTGTAAATGATGTTGTATTTCAAGAGACCTTTTAAAGGGGAAAAATAATAGCTCTACTCTAGACAAAGCTCATGGCTGGAAAATGAGTCTATTTATCTCCAAAGATTCAACAAATTCTTACAAAGTGTTGGGCCCAAATTCTTGATGGCTAGAGGAGGAGGCGGGGTTCAGAAGGGGGAACATGACTTGCTCAGAGTCACATAGCTAAGTTAGTGTGTCACCTGTGTACTTTCTTTCTTCTCATAGCTATTTCAAAAGTGTAGGTGGGTCTTTCTGTGCCTCTGGCACGGCTTGGATGGGGATGTAAATTGAGTAGGGCAGGGTCTCGGAGTCACCAGGGCAGAGCAAATAGCAATGGTGTCTCCGCGGCTCCTCGCCTCTCTGGGACTCCGGGACTTCGCATCCCCCAGTGCCGGCGAGCAGCTGCGCTCCAGAGCCTCCCTCGCTTTCCGACCGCTGCAAGGCTGTGTCGCCTCTCCCTGTGGGGTCTGGGGCCTCAGAGACCCGCCCCGAACAAGCCCAGTGGATTCATAACCCCTTCCGATTGAAAAAAACCACGCATCCAGTTGCAGCCCGCCTGGCGCACGACTCTGTACCTCTGTTCTTGGCGCCTCTATAGCTCCTACTCAGTCTCACTGTGCTTCTTTATTTCCTTCCAGTTGTAGAACTTCCACTGGGCCAACTTCCCCATGGTTCTGAATGGTAGTTGTTTGTCTGATAGTTGGTAGTTTCAATGATGTTGTGGGAGGCAGCACACACAGGTCTACACCCTAGCCGCCATCTAGGTTCTCCTTATTCAGTTAATCTTTTTCATATTTTCAGTGTAGAGTTGCTGGTAATTTTATTTTATTTTTAATATATTTTTATTGATTTCAGAGAGGAAGGGAGAGGGAGAGAAAGATAAAAACAGCAGTGATGAGAGAATCATTGATCGGCTGCCTCTTGCATGCCCCCTACTGGGGATCAAGCCTGCAACCGGGCACATGCCCTTGACTGGAATCAAACCCAGGACCCTTCGGTCTGCAGGCTGATGCTCTATCCACTGAGCCAAACCAGCTAGAACGAGTTGCTGGTGATTTTAAAAAATAATCTGAATATTTCTGTTGAAGTTGCCATTCTAATATTTTTCACATTTATCTAGAAAAGATATTTACAGGATTCAAGACAATTTTTTTAAGGGAAAAAATAAGATTGAAGGGATTTGTCTACCAGATAATGAGTTGTATAATAAAGCCTCAGTAATTAAGACAGGAT